CCCCCACCCCACACCACAGACACCCACCAGCCCGGCCCCTCCCGGCGCCTGCCCACCCTCCACCCACGGCCTCACGGGTCCAGGACTTGGCGTGTTGTTACATGTTCCTTCCGAGTTTTCTTTGACTGGAAAGAGGGACGGGGGCCCCCCACCCGTCACCACGCCCCAACGCTCCCCCCGAAACCAGAGCCGTGCACTCGTGCCTGGTAGGAGAGAGACAGGACAGACCCGCTTTTCCCGAGACGAGGACCCCCCCCATGTCACGGCAGCTTCACAGACGCGGCTCGCGCCCACCGGGGTCCTGGCGGGTGGGACCCGCGGCCTCCACGTGGCCCAGGCCAGCCTGCCACCCTCTGGGCCTCCCGCCTGTGCCTTTCTCTGAGGGGACACCCTGCCAGAGAGGGCCCCGGGAGCCGGGGGCAGGAAGTGGGGCTCCACGGGGTTCCCTAGCCAAGGCGCTGGCCCCCCAATCTCAGGCAGTTGGGGTGAGGCCGTGCCTCTTTGGGGCTCAAAGTGTTGGGTGGAGGACAGGCCCCTCCGCTGTGCCCCCCATGCCCTGTATGGGCCCAACCAGTGGACAGCGGAGTCTGGGGGAGGGGGAACCCGGGGACATGCCCCCACCCGGGAGGGGCCGGCAAACCCTGGGCTGTGTTCCAGAGGGGGCAAACCAGGGGTCATCAACCTGTCCCCTGCACGGGGCAGGGACCGAGTGAGCCACTCCTTGTCCCGAGCTCCCACCCCCACTGGGCCCTCCTTCCTCCTGGTGCTAATTTGGGGACCCCAGGGGCCGCCCCCGGCCTCTTCTCCAACCTGCCTGGACCAGGATCCTGGGTCTTCCCAATCACACCCCAGAGATCAGGCCCCACCTGCCAGCTCTGCTGGGCTTGGAGCATGTCTGGGCAGTGAAGAGAGGGACACAGCCTGGGACAGGAAGCCTCTTGGTTGGAGCAGGGGACCCTCATTTGCCACCCAGACCAATGTGAGCCTGCCCCCAGCCCCCTCTTACTGGAAGTGGCAAGGGGCTTCCCTCCTGGGGGCAGCTACACTCGTCCCCAGAGGCACATTCGTGCACATTCTCACAGACACCTTCTGACGCGTTGGCTTTGGACAACCAGGCCCCAACTTGGTCCCTCCCCCAGGGGCCTCCAGCCTGGTGCCCAGTGCTCAGGCCACCTCCAGGTACAGGGGCCACTTCGGGTGGGAGCCTGGGTCCCTGCCTCCGCTCTGCCCCTGGGTGGCTGGGAGGAGAGGCCCTCTCGGGGGTGACCTGGGCGTCAGCCATGGGACCCCCTCCTCCTCCCTCGAGTCTGCCCGAGTCCCTCGAGCCGCGAGCCTTCGCTGAAGTGCCCTTGCTGCCCCCTCTGCTTTTGGTGTGTGACGAGGTCCCCGATGTTCTTGATTTTCCCAGAGAAGCAAATAAACAGCGTGAACAGCCCCAGTTCCTAGAGTTCTTGGCTTTCAACCCGGCGAGGAAGGCGTGACCAGGCCAGGGGGTGGGGCCTGCCAGCCTTTGAGCCATAAAGGGGAGGCTGAGCAGGGTTCCGGTGAGCTGGCTTCACCTGCCTGCACCTGCTCACCTGCTGGGCTCCCCCTGGGCGCCGAGGGGTGGTGGTGGGAGGAGTTGGAATCCCCACTGTGCAGGTAAGGCCTGGCGGTAAGGGGCTGCTGTGGGGGGCAGGCTTGGCTTCCTGGGGAGCTCTTGGGTTCTGCGGCCGCCCCATCCTGTCCTTTAGTTCCTCCCTTTACTGGGCTCACAGCCCCTGGGTGATGACAGAGGGTCCCCTGGACACCTACAAGCTCTGCAGAGAAGCCGGCCCCTGGGAAAGACACGGGAGGCCTGGGGAGGAGGTGTCTGTGGAGACCAGCATTGTGCTCAGGGGAAGGTGTCCCCCACCCCAGCCCCACTCTGTCTCCCACTGAGATCTTGGAGAAGTCCCTGCCTCCTTCTCTGGGCCTCAATTTCTCCATCTGTAAAATAAGCCTTCATGGCCGGGCGCGGTGGCTCACACCTGCAATCCCAGTACTTTGGGAGGCCGTGGTGGGCGGATCACAAGGTCAAGAGATTGAGACCATCCTGGCCACATATTGAAACCCCATCTCTACTAAGAATACAAAAATTAGCCGGGCGTGGTGGCGGGCACCCGTAGTCCCAGCTACTCGGAAGGCTGAGGCAGGAGAATGGCGTGAACCCGGGAGGCGGAGGCTGCAGTGAGCTGAGATCGCGCCACTGCACTCCAACCTGGGCGACAGAGCGAGACTCTGTCTCAAATAAAATAACATAGGCCTTCGGAGCCCTGAGTGGGAGGCCAGCCTCAGCCTGGGTGTGGGACGTCTCCACAGTGCCCCCAGCTCATGGGGGATCCAGCCTCTGCCAGCCCCCACCCCTGTTGAGGCCTCAGTTTTCCCCAATGAGGTGGTGAGTGTGGTGGAGGGTATGAATGAGGGAACTCAGGTTCCAATTGCAGCCTAACCCCGGGCCATTCCTGAGGCACAATTTTAAGTGTTCTGTGCCTCAGTTTCCCTATCTACAAGCCAGGGAGGAAAGGACATGAAGGGGTCGTGGGAGGCGGTGGTGGGGGGCGGCGTTGGGAGGTCGCACACCCTGGGCTTTCACACACCCAGCAGCGTTAGGTGCCATGCCGTCCTTTGGGGTGGGTCCTTGATCCAGATCTGTCCTTAAACACCCCCATTCTGGCTGGGCGCGGTGGCTCACACCTGTAATCCCAGCACTTTGGGAGGCCAAGGCGGGTGGATCACCTGAGGCCAGGAGTTCGAGACCAGCCTGGCCAACATGGCAAAACTCCGTCTCTACTAAAAATACAAAATTAGCTGCACGTGGGGGCGGGTGCCTGTAATCTCCTGAGGCTGAGGCAGGAGAATCGCTTGAACAGGGGAGGTTGCAGTGAGCCGAGATCGGGCCCCTGCACTCCAGCCTGGGCGACAAGAGCGAGAGTCCGTCTCAAAAACAAAACAAAACAAACAAAGCGTCCCCATCCAGCAGCCCTGCTGGATTCAGAGCTGGGGCCTTTTTACTGGAAGAAGAGACCGAGGTTCAGAGCGGCTCCACAAGCAGCCAGCGGGTAGGTCAGGACAGAGCCCCAGACTGGGGAACTGAGTCCCCCGCCCCCTCAGCTGTGTTCACCGCCCTCATAGATGGCGCTAGGCCCAGTGGCCTGACTTCCCCACAGATGCTGGGTTCCCCACAGTCCCAGCAAGGCCTCTGCGCCTTGATCAAGAATCCAGGAGGGGCCGGGCGCGGTGGCTCAAGCCTGTAATCCCAGCACTTTGGGAGGCCGAGACGGGCGGATCACAAGGTCAGCAGATCAAGACCAGCCTGGCTAAATACGGTGAAACCCCGTCTCTACTAAAAAATACAAAAAACTAGCCGGGTGAGGTGGCGGGCGCCTGTAGTCCCAGCTACTCGGGAGGCTGAGGCAGGAGAATGGCGTAGACCCGGGAGGCGGAGCTTGCAGTGAGCTGAGATG